GTGTTCGTGAACAGACCAAAGCACTTTCTCAGTCACGTAACGCGTAATTATCTCGCATCCCGTCAAAACCGGCCACCTTTGTTTTCATTTGCATGGTGCAGAATCATAACAAATGAGCAAACGATGAAAAAACAAACAAACAAACCAACTCGTATGCACGTGCTTTGTGATGAGAACTAATTTGTTTTCTCCCCTGCTGCATGCAGGATCTTATGCGCCGCGAAAATGTGACGTCAGTTAAGAACAAAAGAAGAACGACGACGAACGAAAAATATCCTGAAGACCGTATGCACAGGACAAACAGGATTTCACGCGAGATTAGTAAGCAGTCTTCAAACGCAATTATTAGAACTGAGGCAAGCGTCTTTTTAGCGATCGTACGTTACTAACTGTGAAAATATCGATATCAGATTGTTGCCATCTCATAGATCATTTTCTTGTAATTAACAGACACCCATCGTGTTCTTCTGGAAATCTGCGAATCTGATTGGTTCTATCATTCTTCTCTTCTCATTGGTAGACCACGATTGCATGCACCTCGCCCTTTAAAAGGAAGTTCATGCTTGTTTGGTAAAATATACCAGACTTCCTCATGTTGCAACAAGAGAGAATGGCGTAACTTAAAATGACTGTTAAGAACCCTAGAAGCGCGCTAAGTAAAGAAGGGGGAGGGGGAAGGACTTTTTTATAGACTATTTCCTCCGTGAGGTTGAAATTTGTTAGTAGCTGTGCATTCAGCCCCCGCAGAAATTCTATTGTTCCCCCACGCCGCTTAAAATTGCCATAGGAATGGCAATTGACGTAACGGCAAGGAAGTAAAATTTATTTGTTTGTTTGCTTGTTTGTTTGTTTGTTTGTTTGTTTCTTTTTTGGTTGGGGAGGGGTTGTTTTTGACAGAATACTCCATTTATTTTTTTTTTCTTTCTGTTCTCTCGAGCTGTATGTCAAACCTTGTTGTAATTGTTCTTCCTGTGAAAAAACGTGGGTGCCATATCGGTTCGGACTGTGCTAGGCTTTTATTTCATCACAGAAGGTTATAAGCTCAGGTTTTGAACTTCAAATTGTTAAAAGTTATCACTTATCATTTAGGGAAGTTTTGTTTCTACATTTTGTTTTAAAACATAAACAAGACGTTACTTTTCCTTTCATTCGCAGATGTTCCAAATCACTCGCACTATAGAGACACACTGTATTGTCCCGAAAGACAGTTTTCTGTCCTTAAGAAGTGCCACAATAAGTTTGATTGTTTGGTGCATGAAATGTTACTTATTATAGACTTGTCACCATCTCTCAATGTCAAATCAGACTCAATCCGGGCGAAACTATTTGCGTGACAGTGCATATTTATTAATTGTTTTTATGTTGATATTTTTTTGGCAGTTTATTTCTTATCTTTTAGAACTTAAAAATGGTATCTTGACGACTCCAAACGTCTTTCGCTGTTATGGCTAAATTTTACTTGGTTATTTATCACTTATCATTTTATCAAATTTGTGTTTCTACATTTTGTTAAGAAGCCTAAACAAGAGGTTCTTTTCCTTTCATTTTTAGGTGTTCCAAATCACTCGCACTGGTATTGTGCAGCATTCATTGAGCAATTTCGCCCAAGGAAGATTCGTTCGATTTTATCCCATTACATACCAAACTTGGCCATGTCTGGCAGTTGAAGTATTTGTGGTAGTGTAACGTTATACCACCGATAAAATGGAAAGTAACATCGCTGAAAGACTATAGATCTCTGAGAAGATTTTCATTAAGACCTTCTATTGTACAATAGTATGAGTATGAGTGTACTCGATTAACACGGATTTACAGAACTCATCAAAAGATATTATAGCAGTTTAGGAAATATTAAGTGGTCTCGGTAGTTTGCACATCATCGGGAAAGACTCGGGGGGGGGAGGGAGCACTGCCATATATGGGCTATATAGGTATGTGCCGCTGTGAAGGGTATGGTTTTCAAGCAGTTTACTCTAGGATAGGGTATATANTGGGTCTAGAATAGGGTATCATTTTTCACAAAACTGACTAGTTGGTTGAAGATTTTATCTAGACTAAGGAAACCAAGAATTGCCACTCAAAAATATGAAAAATTCAAATCAGCAAGTTTAAATTTACGCAAATCAGCCTCAACAGTGTCGATAGATGGGGGATTTGGGGACTTTACTGTAGTATAGGGTAGCAAAATTTAGCTGAACTAGCTCTGGTATAGGCTAAGGGTTCCAGGATCCAAGGAGCACATCCTCACCCAGAAATTCCCAAAGTACCTCCCCCGGGGGAAAGACATTACTGGACCGAGTCATACATCACTTGTCAGTTGTCAATACCAAATTTACTTTATTGCTTGATTTACTTTAATAGCTTGAGAGTAAACAACAGTCACGCAATGAAGGGTGAGATAATAGTAGATAATAATGGTGCCGATCTTTGGTGTGTTAGGTGTAGTATTGATCCGAAAGCATATCCATCTTAACCCCCAACGGGCCCCAAATCACCGTTCCTCAGGAGAGACTCACCGACCCCTCCATCGCAGAATTAGCTACCTTCCCCTTATTCTCCCACCCCACCTTACTCTACCTAGCCCTGCTGATATGTTGATATGCTGATGCCTTTTCCATGTGATACTAAAGGTTCATGTTTCGTGTTTGTTATGCTCCAGAGTTGTTATCAGTTTCAATAAAACTAGACGCTTTGCTGCGTGTAACCAGGCAGTCTTTATACTGAGAA